AAAAACTAACCGAAAAAAAATATCCAAAAAAAGGTAGCAAAAATAACAAAAGCGATTACAGATATAATAATTAACAATCCAGAATCGGATACAAAAGATAATAATGATATACTCAATAACATGAAATTACAATATCCTAATTTATCAATTGCTGACCATTCTGCCTCCTAATTGGAGCGCAAATAAAATAAAAACGACATTCAACGCTACATATCATATGGCATATAATTCCAAAATCATTTTAGAAGAAAAGTGGATTCTTTCAACTCCAAATCGAAAGCCTGCAAAATATCTCAATAAAAAAACAGTTGATATTGTTAAAAAAATTTCTTGCAATGATGAAGTTAGTAGGGTATTACCAGGAAAAAAAGATTGCATATCTATCACTGAAAAGGGGGAACGAGTGAACGCTCAAAAAAGGTTAGTTTTTAATAATTTAAAAGAATTATATAATCATTTTAAGGCGAGTAAATTAACAATTGGATTTTCGAAATTTACTAGCTTAAGACCAAAAAATTGTATATTAGCAGGGGCTAGCGGAACACATAGTGTATGCGTTTGTAGCATACACCAGAATATTAAACTTATGATTTTAGGCTGGGAATTAGCAACATTGACTAAAAATGGTGAGGATACATTTACAACATATAGAGATGTTATAGGCAGAATGATTTGCAATCCCCCGTTACCCACCTGTTATTTTGGTGACTGCAACGAATGTCCTGGCTCGGCACTCTTAAAAGAACGCATCGAAAAATTATTTATAAAAAATGATATAGCTCTTGTTACTTTTAAACAGTGGGTTTCGGTAGATAGAACCAATCTTCAGACGAATGTATTAATTATTTTTTCGATAAAATGAATATTCTCATATGCTATTCATTTATTTGTGAACAACAAAGTTAATCGATTTTGGTGTTCAAGCAGAATAGCATTTTTTTCCTACGGCACATGGTAAAAGTGCTTGCGACGGCATAGGCGGCACAGTAAAAAGGTTAGTTTCCAAGGCAAGCTTACAAAGACCTTATACGGATCAAATAATTACATCTTTACAATTTTATAAATATGCGGAAGAGCATATAAAAGGTATAAATTTTTCTTATGCCACTATACCAGATTATGAAGAAGAGATAAAGCTAAGTGAGAGATTTAGTAAATCTATCTCAATACCCGGGACACAAGAAATTCATGCAGTGTTTCCGATTGGCTTAACTAAACTCAACACTAAACTATATTCTAATTCGCAGACATTTATTGTGGAGAATATAGTATATCCACGTGAGGATCCTTTGATTGAGGATCTGTTAATCGATGAGATTAGAGGATAAATAACATAAGCATATGAAAACGATTGGTGGTTAGGATTTGTGCAAGAAGTGAATGTAATTAGAGATGAAGCAAAGATTAATTTTCTTCACCCTAAAGAACCAGCAAATTCTTTTGTTTATCCGTTGCACAAGATATCCTTTTCATACCAAAAAATAATATTTTAACAATAGTTAGCTCAAACGGCTACTGGGCGTACATATAATTTATCGCAAAATTAAATTATCATGGCGTCAAAAAAACTAAATTTAATGAAATATCGAAAATAGGTAATATCTTTCATGAATTTTAATTTATCTATTATATCTTCAAAATTTATAAAATAATTTTTCGAAAATTAAAATTTTTTATAAAAAAAATATGATTATAACCGCAGCGAAATAATCTCATTTCATGGTACTAATGCTGGAAAATCTTTTTATTTATGTTTAAAAATGAAAAAAAGTTTAAAAAAATAATAATTATAACAAAACACGTTATTTTATAAAAGAGCGGTATCTATTTTTGACAAAAATGTTTATTTTTTGATTTTTTAAATCGTAATAACTAAAAAACCCATGGCTGTCCCAAGTTTAAATTTTTTTTATGAATAGATATAAGGTTAGAGAATAAGAAAAATATTCAAAAAATTGGCACTGGAATTTTTATGTTTAAAATTTAAAACGTAAATAAAAACCGCAACAATATTATTTCAAAAAATCCTTAATATTTAATAAAAGGCCTTTAATAGAGTTACAAAATGACATATAACTTATATTTTTAAAATCATTATTTTTTAACTTATCTCAATTTCAAAAAATCGTATTTTTCGAAAAAAGGTCATTTTTGGCACATTTGACCATTGATATCTCTGGAACTATTAGTACTAGGAAGCTAAAATTTTGGATTCGATGCTTTCAAATGATATTCTCTCAGCATACAAAATTTTATCGAAATTAAAAGGTAGGGCCGAAAAGTTATCGATTTGGTATAGAATTACCCCAAAGCCAATAAAGCATTTTCTAAAATAAATTCATTAAAATTTCATATAATTTAAATATACCTATGAACATATTTTATACACACTAACTATATTATACCAAATATAATATCGCCATAAACATGATATTGATTTTAATAGAACTGCACCAATTTTTTGCCGATATTAAAATGGCCTGGTTATAAATGTGTATATTTAGAAATTGTCACAAGATAGATAGATATTTTTTTATAATCTTAGACTGGTAATAACACTTAAAAATATGTTTTAAAACAAAAATATTTGAAGGAAAGGTTGGTATTGGCAAATATAATCAGCCTATGTTTTGGATAGACAAAAATCCAATTTTGAAAATTTTAAATTGCCAGATTCTAGACCAGGGTTGCCAGATATTCTTCACTTGAAACGTGAGTTTTTCTTTTACAATAATTAATGGGGGACTTCGCCTTCCATACCCCCCCCCCAATTTGGGTAATTGATGTAGCATACTCATCTAAGTTAATATGTTATATTTAATATAACTAGATTTTAAAGACAATGAAAATTCTTTATTGATTTACTAATAACAATTATGATATATAATTTTCTCATGTTTATAAATATAGCATAATATTAATTATTATATTTATGGATGATTTTAAAAGAGGCAATAAAGATTTCCCATCGGCACTGTGGAGATAGGCTGAAAACTCTTTGCATGAATAGTTATATTTTGTTTTACAAAAAGTTCAGCTTCAAATGATGACGTTCTTTTTGCCAAGCAGTAGTCATTAGACTGAATATTCTCTCTGATGAAGCATTTGAATGCGGAATAAAAAATATAAAATTGCATATTTTCTCTATCAATGGTGAGTTTTTATTAGAAAGAAAATCCATCCATTTTTCTTGGGTATCATGTGATAGTTTTTGATAATTTTTCTTCATAATAGGAATAAAATTGTGAATATTCTTCAAAGAGAATTTCTGTATCTATGTTAGGTATTTTATAATTACTAATAATTTTTTGTAATTGTTCAAATTCTGGACATTATTTTAATGTCATAGGGTTAAGATATTTCCATATATTATCTATAATTAACGTTTTTCTACATATTCTATAATATTTTTTATAAATATCTTTGATTCATTTTTGAAATTTATTGCCTTTTCTACATCATTATTATGTTGTAAAATATTTTTAGAAATGCTCCCATAAAAATTTTGTTGAATTTTTAAATATAATGAATTCTTTAGTTTTAGGATAAGATCATGTATATATATTGCTAATACATCTTCAGATTGCAATTGTAAATTTATGTTATTGACTAAAGTGCCAACTTTAAGGACAACACCTAAATATGCCTCTGCAAAATCATCTCCAATTATTTTCAAAATTGGTGGGGTTGCTGATAATGATAAAAAATATTCTTTAAGTGGTTGAAAAACTTAAGCATCCGCTTAATCGCTGGGATTAATGTAAGCCAGCGTGTTGGAACATGGCGAAGTGATTCTGACCATTCAAAATTGCACCATTCTACAAATTCTTTTAAAATTGTAACTCTATTTGTCGAGTTGCTAAATTCATTATTACATTTAATTACTATACTCTCAATATCATATTTAAGAAAAATTATGGCCTTTTTAAACGAACTGTGAAGAATGTGGCATATATAACCCATTGGTATAATATTATTAACTATGGCTTTTCAATTCTGACCAAATACTTTAATTTTTCCCAAATTTTACAGATGCGTTATCTGCACAATAGGCCGTTACATTAGCAATATCAAGTTCAGCGAATTTTAAATTTTCTAGCAAGCATCTAGACATGTATTTAGGGGTTTCACTGTCAGACGAAAAATTTTTAAGTAATTAAACATTTATTCCATTCTTTTTGTTGAAGTATCTAAGTAATAAGGGAACGTTTTTATATTACTTTTATTTTATGAATCCGTTAGTATTGAAAACGGATGATTTTTTTTAGATCTTTTATAATATTTGCCCTTAATTTATTTCATTTAAAATTATACGAGTTTTAATATAAGATTTATAAAATCCATAAAAGAAATTTATAGTTATTTAAATTATATAATAATTATACTTTATAAACTTTCTAAAAATTGAATTTCTTTTGTGGGTAATTGATCAATGAATATGATTGGTTAGTTGGACTATTAACAAATACTACAATTTTTTTAAATATTTTATAATAAAATTAATTAATTTTATATTTAAAAATATTTTAAAAAAATTTAAAAACGTGAAAAAAAGTGTGAGACTGTGATTATTTTAATTTACTCAAAAAACGTGAGAAAAGCGTAGTGCGAAAAAACGTGGGTAAGTAAAAAATTAGGTATGAAATCGTGAGAATCACAGCTAAATCGTGACATCTGGCAACCCTGTTCTAGACGCTTCCTAAAGATAATTTTGCTTTATAAGTTGTGATGTTATATCTATACATTCTGTTTATGCAGAAAATATTAGCTGCCAATTCTGAGATATATATATTTAGGTGATTTTGGTATCAGAAAAAAATATCGGTACAGTCCTACCATATTTAACAGGTCAAATTAACCAAATTATATTTGATTGGTCAAATACCCAATCCTGATATAAATGCAACCTCAATTTTGGCTTTTTAACACCGCTTTATTAACTTTAAAATTTCAATACATATATTAAATAAATAAATCATAAAACTCCAACAATCTCTATATATTATAATTACAATTTGTTGTATCTAAGTCTATAAAACTTTAATTATTTATACAATTATGCGGAGAGTTCTATAATACTGCGGTATATATCAAAGATATCATTTATAAATTTCCGATATAGGATTGATTCGTCCTCTTCCTTCATAGTTGAAGATTCCTCGAAAAAAAATTCAAAAAAATTGAGATCACCTTCAATACGATTCTTTTGTTCAGCGCGAAAAGAATGATGAGTAAGTAATAGGGGTAGGCAAGAATGAATAAAAAATTCAACAAGATCCCGAGATGCCTCGCTAAAATGATTGGTGGTATAAAAAATGTATAAGAGTTTAAATAAATGACTAGGGGTTGTATGGGTAACAATGCCAAACTCATTATCAACAACTAATTGGTTAAATTTAAATGTGTATGAATGATTGTTATTTTTCCCATGTAAAGGAATAAAATCGAAGTCATGTTGCATATAAGAGAGGAACAGGGAAGGTAAAACCAGAGAGCGGATGTATTTTTCGATAGTCTTCATCATAAATCGGTGACTAAGTTTGTAGATTCCCAAGTGAACGTCAATGATTGGCAGAATGTCACCAGGATCGTCGGAACTATAAAATTCTTTGAAGGCTTCTAAAATATTTTCCATTGAATCATTGGTGGAATGATTACAATTATTTTCGAAACCATCTAAGGTATTTTTGTCAAAATATTCTACATATTTGAACAAAAGTTGTAACTCTTCGGGATTTGCTTCCCCAATCAAAACAGCTTCGCGGTTTCGTTCTTTGAAACCGCTTTCTTTGCTGAGCATAACATTCAAAACTGGCGATATTTGGCTTATCGATGTATAGTCTATCATGATTGAATCGTAGGGTGCATTATATGGTAATAGAGCGTCTTGATCTTGACAACGTTCTGAGTGGTTGGAAGTATATAATTTGATAGTTTCCAATTCCAGAGAATTATCACTTTCTAATTTTTCGAGCTGGGTCGTATTCTTATTCGACAAAACTTGTAGAATTTGTTTGACCAATTTGATAGGGAATTGATAATGGTGTGATTTTTTGGTGTTAGTTTTTGAAATTCCGTAAATATTTTGGATAGATAACAAAATATATTCCGAAAAATAACGCATAAATATTTTCATGGCATTGTTATCATCACGACACTCATGTTCGATAATAGATTCCAGTACTTTAAGATAGCCCTTATCCAAACATATTTTTCTAAAGTTTTTGCTTAAAAAAAATAAATAAAATCGATTAGAAAAAAATTCGTTTATAAAATTTATTTGAGTATTTTTAAATTCTAAACCTTTTTATGAGAAAGGGGAAAGACAAGATCGTGTTAAAGTATGAAGAAGATTTGTAATCTCCAATACTCGAATCAGGGATTCTTGTCATCACTTGTTGAACGTGCAACATTCCATGTGACGTCTGAAAGGTGTGTTGCAAAGATTTCATAAGCTTTCGTATGAAAGAAGCCTTGAGATGGCAGGACGAACATTTGATTTTCAAACCTTCAATTGTGGTATTGGTGATGAGACTATTCTTAGACAAATCTATGGCTAATCGAGGTCTTTTATTTTTTTTATTGAAGATCTTAAAATCTTGATCACTTTCGCGTTTTAACGAATTTGTAATGGGTGTTTCATCATTTTTCTTTTTGTGTTGCAACGACTGGAATAAAATTTGTAACTTGTAAAGCAGAAAAGGAAACCGCCTCCCAAGCAAAACCTCAACGTAACGCTCATTTTTGCAGACACGACTCAGTGTTCTTATGAGTCTCCTGTGGGGGACTTCGCAATTGAGTAATAGGTCAAGCATTGTACAAAATATGTCTAAAAGAAAGAGAAAAAAATTTAAATGCTAGTTATATAAAAATATATGTATCACTTAAATTGTTTTAGTGAATTGTAATTGTGAGAATGGGGTTAATGTAAAGGGTTAAAGGAAAGTTAATCTTAAATTGTGAAAAATATAAATAAAATTTGGTTCAATTTAAAAAGAAAGAAGAGGGGTGAAATTCAATAAAGTGATTTTGTTAAAGAAAATTTTTTTTTTATAAAATATTTTATCATAGTTAGGTATTGAGCAAATTAAACGATAAGATAGACACTAAGGTATGGGTTTAAGGGGGCACAATTGTTTTAATTGAGCAAATTAAAATAAGTAATAAAAAGTAAAACATGGATTTAAAAGAGTTTTTTTTTAATTTTTTATATTTTTAAAAATAATATTTTCCGACATTAATATCATGACGATCTTTTCCTTGTAAAAAATTTAAATTTCGAAATTATTTTATATCTATTTTGCAAATAAATTAAAATTCATGAAAGTTATTACCTATTTTCGGATTTTTATTAAATCGAGTTTTGACGCCTTAATTTCATTTTGCAATAAATTATAATACGGTCAGTCACCGTTGATGGGCTCACTATTGTTAAAATATTATTTTTTGGTATGAAAAGGAGATCGTATCGCTGGATAAAGAATAGAATTTGCTGGTCCTTTAGGATGAAGGAAATTTATTTTTATTTTAATTATCTCTATTTACATCCAATTTTTGAACAAATCTTAACTACAAATTGTTTTCTTACATTCAGGTCACACATTCTCTTTTTCATCGATCAAAAGATCCTCATATGGATTTACTATATTCTCCAAAATAAACGTCTGTGAATTTGAATATATTTTAGTATTGGGCGAGGTTAAACCCAATGGAAACAATGCATCCCAGGTATTGAGATAGATTTACTAAATCTCTCACTTAGCCTTATCTTCTCTGCCTTATAGTCTAGTATGGCGGCATAGAGAAAATTTATTCGTTAAGTATAATTATTTGGTGTGAATCGGCACTTTACCATTTGCCGTAGCAAAAAATGTCATTCTGCTTGAACACCAAAATCGATTACATAGTAATATACATTGATAAAGTTTTCCCTGTTTCTGTATTGCGTTGCTGAACTTTAGAAAAGTAACAAAATTTTTCTGATAGGGTATAGATTTAAAAAAAAAAATGAATCAAGTGGGTTTGGAATAAATGGAATTATAGTGTTCCGCCTCAATATTCGGAAATTGAGTATCCATGTCATAACTTTTCTCAAATTCGTTTTATATAATTAAAGTGCTTAAATTCTTTAAAAGGATTTGAGCATTAAGATAAAAAAAATTTTATTTTTCAAGAATTAATGATTATATTTTCTTGTTATCGGAATCTTAACAATTAGGAAATTTAATTATTTATTATAAAAACAACTAATTTATACAAGATTAACAATAACCCATCAACGGCTATTTAAATCATCTCATTTTATGATATTAATGTTGGAAGATCTTATTATTTATGTTTAAAAATTTTTAAACAAAATAATTTTAACTAAAATGCGTCATTTTATATGAGTAATCGTAATAACTAAAAAAAACCCATGGCTGTCCCAAGTTCAAATTTTTTTGCAAATAGATTTAATGTGAGTGAATAGTAAAATAGCAAATTCAAAGTAATTTAAGAAAGTGAAACACTGGGAGTTTTTAGGTTTCAAATTTATAACGTAAATTAACCTAATTTTTAATTTCAACATCATAATTTTTTTAATATTAAAAAATAATTTATAAACATAAAGTACAAAAAAAGCCATATCTCAATTTAAAAAATCGTATTTTTTTAAAAAAAGATCATTTTGAGCACTTTTAACCATTGATATCTAAGGAACTATAAGGACATGGAATCTAACATGTTTGATTCGATGACTTCCAATGATGTTCCTATAGTATGCAAAAAAAAATATTAAAAAGGTTGGGCCAAAAAGTTATTCGGTATACCTCCTCAGCAAGTTTAAACAAATAATTAAATTGGCTGGAAGAAATATTTGTAAATCAAATAACGCGTTATACTGAAAATCGAAGAAAAAAAAATAATCCTAGTCAAAACTAAAATTTAAAATATTTTTGCCCCACCCACCAAAAAAAAAATTTTTGAATTTTTTGGGAGCCCAAAAAATTTTTTGTTGACTAGGTTAGTAAAAAAATTAATTTAATCATCATAATAACCTGAGTTCTGATTTATAATGGCAGTCGGATTAAAATGATACATTCTAAAAACTTGCGAAAGCAAATTGTATATCATGTCCATTAATTTATGGTAGGGCATAGTTATAGGCTTTAGACCACTGGAACAAAAACAAATATTGTGGTTATTTTTAAAGCTAAGACTTGAAATTTCTTTTTGATCGGGTGATATTAATTCATAACCACCAGACTCTAAACTCACATTGGTGTTGTTAATACTTTCACTTTTAAGTTGAGAGGTGTTTATGGCTAGGATGTTATTATTTATAATATCTTCTGATTCACTCAATAAAGTAGAGGATGGTTGTAGAGTAGAGTTATCAAGAGATTTAGATGACATTTGATCTATGTAAAACTCCTCCTCACTGCTGTAATAGTTTAGGATAGGATCATTGAATTCAGCAGAATAATTGCTGTATACTGAGGAAGGGCTAAAGGGGGGACTTCTTGAGTAAGAGTATGTAGGGGAAAAAGTTGAACTATAATAATAATTTTGGTTAGAGCTGTTGGGACTGCTCATGGAAACATAGCCCGGTGATGAGTGAGTAGGAGAAGTATATGAGCAAAAAGAATTGTTTTGAGATGGAGACATCTTTTTGACAATTTTGGTGTGATGAGTTGATAAATCTAAACTAAACAAATTACTGAGGTGTGCATCATATTCGCTTTTCAAAATATTGTTCAGATCTAACTCATTTGAAAGTGGGTGGAGTATAGTGAAAGGTAGATTTATTAATCCTGATTCCTTTTCATTATTATCGAGTACTACCACCTCATTTTCACAATATGATAAATTTTTGTGTAAGGGTGGAACCGAGGTAAAATCTTTATCAACTATTTCTTCACCAGTTATTAAATTTTGATCTTCAAAATCAAGGTCACTATCACTCAAAAAATGTCTGAAAATTGAATTAATCACATTCAATAATCCATTTTCACAAAGAATGACCATGGATGAGTTTTCATAAATAAAATTTATGAAAATCAATATTATCAAATTGATATGGCAGAAATATCCTTCATTTGTAAACATTTTGGGTACTAACTTCCAAGCTAATGATAGCAATATTGGAAGACCACCAAAGTCACGTATTCTAAATTTATTAGCTACTTCAGTTGAGAATAAATGTACAACCCTAAGCAAATTAAATAATGTGTTTTGAGCATGCTCACCTGTATGAAAATCAAATTTATTTGGAATGGATTTCATATTAATTTTTGCCAAATTTTGCTGTAGTAAAATTAAGAATACTTTAACAGCACCAATATTACCTAATGCATGATTTATTTCAGATACATGCAACATTTCTATAAACAATTTAAACAATACGGATGTGGAATTATTGTGTAATAAGAGGTTGTCTTTGTTATTATTACTTTGAGAATCCAATGATTTTTTTTTGATAAAACAATCTGAAGAATTTTGACTAACATACAATGATAACAAAGATTCTAAGAATTTTTCATCTAACAAAGGATTTATGTAACAAGCTTTACTTGATAGAAAATGATCATTAGCCTGATTTTTATCTTTAAATGCTTTTGATAAGTCTTTATCAATTATATTAGAATAGCTATTTATAATTATCAATAATAATTCCATTATATGTTCAAATAGTTCATTTCTTTTTTCCTTATTTATACCCATAAGAGATAATTCATTAGTAGTTTTTATTGCATAATAGAATTTAACTAAAGTAGTTGTTATATCTTCAGTAACTACTAACTTTAAAAAAAATATATAGATTAGACATAGATCTAATTACTTTCTTAACATATATAGGTTTAGACAATAATTTTTTTATAAGCCTCAAACAATTTTTTAAACAATTTGTATCTGAACATTTTTCAGCAGTCATTCTTAAATATTTTCCTGGCTATTATAAAGTTTATAAAAAAAATATTATTTTTTTACCTTTTCTAGAATAATTTTTTGAATAAAATCTTCATCTTTACTCAAATTGGATAAAGCTCTATAAAGTTGAGCTGTGATAATGTGATTATCATTTCTTTGTGCTAGTAATGTAACTATGAAAGCAAATATATCATCTATAAGAAAACAATGTTTTTTTCCCAAAATACTTACATAATATTGGAATTATCTTTAAAGGAATTATCTATAAATTAATATTGGAAAAACTTATACATATATTTATATATATACCTCTCTTCTGATAGTGTCATCAAGAAAAGAATTAGCAAGCTTTCCTATAGCTTTTTCACATAATAAATCATTTTCCTTTTCCTCTTTAGTCAAAAACTTAATGATTTGTTTCACATTGTCAATCGTTAATGAAGATCTCATATTATATCATATTTGCTCTGCCTATTTTAGTAGAAAGTAGAATGACATTTGACATATTTGAGACTGTCATTCTAGTGAATGCTAAATAAATAGACATTAATAGTATAATATATATAATAGTGATTTAAGGTAACTAGTTACATTTTGGCTAAAAAATAACTGTAACTAGTTATATTTTTAAAATTGTAACTAGTAACTGTAACTAGCCAAAAGTAACTAGTTACTTTTAAAGATATATTCAAATAATTAATTTTATTTTTAATATGTTGTGATAAATTAATTTTAAATTAAATTTATTTTTTAAATTAAATTTATTAATTTAAAATTTTGTGAAAATGTCTGATTGTTCCCAACAATAACACAAATACTTATATGTATGGCAGATGTGCAGGGATTAAAATATTGTCAACCTCTAAAGGATACTATATTAGCTAGTATTGAAAAAAGGTAACTTAAATCAAATAATTATTTATAAATTAATAATATCATGTTATAGGTTTAAATAATCTTTATGATAATGACAACATCATTGCTGCAATTCTTCACCCTTTATTTAAAACTGACTGGCCTTGGATTAGGCAAGAAACGAATAAAGCAAAAAAAGGAAATTGTAAATTTAATGAATACCTTAATACCTCAAAGTTAATCCCAGACGAATGAATCATGCTCAAAACTAACATCACTTCATGTAGTTGGATTTTTTGACCTAAAGCGCCAAAATATTCTGGATATTGAACTTATAGAAAACTTTATCAAATCTAATAACAACACTTTTTCTTTATATAACGATTTTCCAAAGTTAAAATTACTCTTTATTAAATATAATGTTTCTAACATCAAGTGCTCCCGTAGAGCGCTTATTCAGTCTAGGTAAGCTCATTTTTAAAGATAAAGAGCACGTCTCCTAGATAATAACTTTGAAATTAATTTGTTGTTAAAAGCAAATAAACATTTATTAGATTCTAATTTTTATGAAAAATAAATGTTTTTTTTTCAATGCAAATATATATTTTTATATTCGATGTAAATATTCAATTTTGCGATATTTTTTTATATAAATAAATTGTATATTATTTTAAATAACTGATTATACTTTGTTTATCCTAATTTTTTTTATATTAAATAAATGCATTCAATAAATAAATAATGCGCATATGAAGGATGTATAAAGTAAGTAACTAGTTACTTTTGAAAATAACTGTAACTAATAACTAGTTACTTTTGTAAAAATGTAACTAGTAACTGTAACTAGTTATGTTTTTGCCAATGTAACTAGTAACTGTAACTAGTTATGTTTCAAAAGTAACTTTTAACATCACTAATATATAAGTAATATAATGAGAATCAGTCTATCATTTTTTTTAAAAAACGCTCTTAATTTTTCTTAATATACAAAAGGTTATAAACGTTTGTATGCTGGAGAAGCAGGGTTGGGAAAAATAAATTGTATTCGAATAGATAGATAATTATTTTTTTTTATCTAATATAAAATACTTTGCAAAAATTTGAAAAAGAAACAAGATATTGTATTTTTATCTAAAAAAAGGTATAACGATGCTTTAAAAAAAAGATAATTTTAAAAAAATGTAAACAAAAAATATAACTATTTTAAAAGAAATTCCTTCACACCAGAGCTTTTTTCTTTTAAAAAAGATTTTACATATTTTTAGATCTTCTTCCTTTTTTTTAAATAATGAAATTATTAATCGTGTTCATGAATTTTTTAGAAGTTTATTAGAAAATATTTTAAATATTAAATTGGAAGATTTTAATTGGGGTTTCTGACAATTACCCTCGAAAATGAGTGGTTTAGATTTATATCCTTTAAATCTTATATCTCTTTCCTCATTTTTGGCATCGCGTTTGATAAATAACGGCATGATATCTTCTTTTATCTCTCCTAAAGATAACCTTTTAAACTCAGCCTTGACAGCCTGGGTATCTTTAGCTCCACCTGAAGCTGTTTTACCCACAATTTTAACACACCAATCTATTTTCGAACCTTTAATTAAAAAATTTTTTAATTCTTGGAGTATATTCAAATATTACAGAATGTTGACTGTACTAGTGGTTATGAATGGTTGGAAGCATTACCAAGTCTAGGTAACCTCTTATCAGATGAACAACTAAGAGTTGCCATAGCCCATCGACTTGGATGTAACATTGTTCAACCACATACATGCATCAAATTTAAAATATTAGTTGACTCCAAAGGGAGACATGGTCTAAATTGTATATATAGTCAAGGCAGGCATGCAAGGCATGCTGCAATTAATTTAGCTAATAGCCGTTCTCTTACCAGGGTCCGAATACCAAACATCCTGGAGCCTACAAATTTATCATTAGATGATCGCTTAAAACCAGATGGCTTAACTTCCGTGACTTCGTCTTTAAGGAAATCCTTAATTTGGGACTTCACATGCGTATCTTCTTTCCCAAAATATTTAAATTCTAATCCGGTTGATATAGACGAGAAAAAAAACAATGAAATATTCAAAATTCACAAATTATGTTTTTACACCGATCGTTATCTCTTCCCTTGGGCATATGCAAAGCGGAATTTTAAAATTCTTAAAAATTATAGGCGATAAGATAAGAGCCCTTACATCAGAACCAAAAGAATGCTATTTTTTAAAACAAATAACTATTTTAAAATATAACTATTCATGTTTTTTAGGAACTTGTAGTCCCATCTCCGTTTTTATAAAATAATGTTTTATTTTATTTTATATTGATATATTGTTATCTATGTTTATATTTTAAATCTGTTTTAAAAAAGAAATAAAATTTAATAATCAAAAAAAAAAAATTTTTTATAAAATTATAAGATAATATATATAATATGTGTAAAAATATTCTAAAAGAATATGAACAAATTGGATACATAATACATATCTAAATATAATTTAATAACAAAAAATAAAATATATATTTAAGTGTATGTAAAATTTTGTAAATTCAATTATAATAAAGCACTATTAAAAATATGAGTTATTAATATCGAATCAAAAATCTAACAAAGTATGTAAACTATATAAATATTAAAATCTTGTATAATCAAGAATCCAAACTAAAAATTATGTAAATACATTTATAAATTTACATAACTCATTAAGTCAGTTTTTAGCCTTATTTTAAGGAGGAAAATTATATGAATTTTATTCACTATATTTCTCGCTTTGGTACCATTATTTAATCATGTTATATATTTTTCCCGATAATAAAACTAAAGGAAATATTTTAATTGGTTGAAATATATATAAAGTTAAACAAGTAAGCACGATTAATGGTTAGAAAAATATAGGTTAAGGTTAATTAAACGTTTAGAAGATCTGGGTTAAGGGTAAGGTATACTAAATAGGGTTTTTAATATAACTTAATCATTATTAATAAAAAAATTGTCAAATCTGACAGGTCATATGATTAAAAATAATTTCCCTTATGCACCATAATCATTTTTCTCAGGTACCCTTTTCGCAACAGAATTCTAATAATTTAACATTAACCTTAATAAATCCCTTTCTAATTATTACTTTTTATTAATAAGGCATAGGCATTTTCTCTATTTTTTTATAGTGCCTAAGCCTTTAAAATTACATTTAAAAAGATAGCAAAAAATTATCCGGAAATAAATTTTATTTTAAAAATAATAACTTTTTGATTGTAACTTTATAAAAATTTAATCGATGTTAACAATATCATTGTATCATAATATGCCTATAATAAAAGTATTAAATAATTTCTTAAATAAATTTATCCTACCTAGCATACCCCCTAATATAAATAGGAAGCAAGCTGCACCAATTCCCTCTCCGCTCAAGTAGACGCTATCCATAAGCGCAGCATGGAACTCACAAGTAACTGCATAATGCCCAACAGTGGATTATTTTTCTAATTTAAATGAAACCCTTAATAATTTTAACAAGTTTGATGGGAATGAGAAGAAACCAGTTTTGCTCTATTGTTTTTTTACAAGAAAAAAAGACAAGTAGCTTTAAGAATTAGGACATTATTTATTATTTATCAATACTAGGATTTAGCCCTAGACCAGCATTTGGCTTAGGAGTGTGGACTGGGAATCACAAATGGTTATGGACCACAAAGTAGGGCATAATAAAATCACAAAATATGGAAAATAAGAGTTAAAATAAAAAATGGAATAAAATATAAAAAATAATATCAATGTTTATATTTCCATGGTTTGTTAATATATAAGTAGTATTTTAAATGGCTAAAATTTAAATGGTTATCTGGAAATTTCTCGTGAATAAATTATAATTTACCTATTTTATATTCTAACATTATGTAAAGTAAATGATTAAGCTTTTTATAATGATAAAAATGAGATCTAATTAATTCTTTATTGTTAACAATAAAAATTTTTTAAAAAAACCACAATCAAATGGAATATAAATGTTATATTTTTATTTACTGCATAGGCGTAGACAATGAGGGTTATGGTATAAACCTCCTATGGATATGTGATTTGGTAAAATACTATATTTTCATACTTATATATTTATATCTAGGTGAAAATCTGTTTTCATTTTTTTTAAATAACACCCTCCTTAAAACATTACCTCTATTTCTATATCATGCAAAAATTTCTTTTTCTTTTAAAAAAAGGTTCATAAAAAAATCGATAATAAGGCACATTTAAAACATTTTAAAAAAATTATTATATATAATTGAAAAAAGAAAATGCTTCCCAAATATACAATAATTTGAGTGAGATTGATGGTTGGTATTTTCTATTTCCAAGTCTAAAAGCGCTCTTAGTATTAGTATTACTTTACTAAATAATCCTTGAATGTTAGCACAGTATCTTATGACTTTATCCATGTAGCCACATACAGCTAAAATATTCGTCTTCAAATTCATCTTCAAAAACTGATAGTGAAATTATTAAAACTTTTAAAGGCTCGAAATTATAATAAAAATAAATGCAGGAAGAAATCATAATCATCTTTTAACTCTCTTCACAAGATATCTATTCGATAGCATACAATCTGTAATTTTTAAAACTCCTTTCCTTTATTTTCTAAGTTGGTTTCAAGATCTTCATAGATATTTTTGAATATTGAACGGCATAATATTTTGACATTTTTAGCTGCAACTGTGACCACTGGCAGAATCAATTCGAATTTCATAAAATTTGTATTATTCGTTTATTTTTACGAAAATTCTTACTTCTCGCAGACTTCTTAATTAGATCCTTTTAAAAGGAACCAATCCTTCATCTTTTCAAAAAAGGAACTAATTCCAGAATCGAGTATCTTAAAAAAAGTGTTGCTATATCTGAAAGAAATTTATTTAATAATATAGAATATTATTTTGTTATATTTAAAAAAAATTTTATAACGTTTGTCGATATGTATAATTTAATATATTCCAATTCAATATTCAAATTAAAAATTGATTTTTTTGAATTGAGAGGATGGATAGGATTTTTTGGTGCAATTCATCCAGTGTAACAACTTTGGAAGACTCAACAAAGTGGTATTAATTATATAAATATGTTTTTTTTCTAGCTCATACTTCAATATAGTATAAAATTATTTGCCCAGTATTTCCAACCAGCAAGGAATTAAATATATTTATATGCAATTTATGGATGTAGGTTGTGTTTCTGCTCAATACCTCTTTAATAAGTCCAGGGACGTTAATTAATAGTCCTAGAACCATTATGCATACAAGTCCGTGTGGCTTGCCCACAAACGTGTGAAGGGCTCCTTATTTTTCCCTTACATTAAATATCCAATAGAGGGTTAAGAGCTAAAATCACGTATCATGTAATTTATATTTTACTTTAATGAACTTAACATCCTAATAAAAAACTTTTATTTTGTTATTCTAATTTATATTTATTATTATTATACATATATATATGCACTATTATTATAGATTGAATTTTTTGAAATTAATGTAACAAAGAAATAAAAGAAAAGGATCACGATTCTTTTATAAATAATATAAATTTTTTTATCACTGGGCCAAACTTAAGTACAGAGCTAATATTTATATATAAAAGAATGAATTTATGGAAATAGAATAAGCAAAATTAATTGTCTTATCTATCAATGATTTCAAAAAATTATAAATCATTTTAAGTTTCGAAAAAATTTATTTTGTAGTATTATTTGTTTAAAAATGTTTGTCTAATAAATGTTTTCCTGATCTATTTGATTGATTCCAAAATAAATTTTATGAAGGCATTAAATGTGATAGTTGGTTTTTTTTATTTGTAATTCGTTTCCTAGTAAAATAATTTATTTATTTTTTAGTTCTTTATTTTGATCCGTTTTTATCGATTCCCAATTTAATTGAAGGATAATATCATCATCTTTATAAACACTTAAAAACCTGCAATAGTTAATTTAAAAAAAATTAATTTATTTTTATAAAATTATAAACTTTTTATTAAGGCCAATTATAAAAGAATCTACTTTATTAATGCCAATTATAAAAGAATCTACAAGTGGTTGGAAAAATTCAATTTCTGAAAAATGATTTAATTTTGAAATGCTAGAAATAGTTACTTAAAACTCATATGCATTTAACCTTCAAGTTTTTGCCAAAGACTCCATAACATTAAATTTATTTGCTTCGAAAAATTAAGGATATATTTATATTTACTTGGCTATATTCGTAATAAATTTACTTTTAAGAGTTAAAGAGCCTAAACTCATTGTTATCACATAAATGATCAAGATTTTGAAATTCTTCACTATATAATTTATATATAACACATGGATTCCATCTTTTTGGATATATCAAATATCTTCCCAATTCTTTAATTATATTATAGGCCATATTTTGGTTATGCCACAAAGACTGACACTTTTGATATGAGCCATGGAATATAATTTTAAACTTCGATTTTCTAAGCATCAAATGTGGCCATTTAATTTATAAATTCTGTAGTAAAAATCATAACCTACTCTGTTATTCAAGATATAATTGATATTCATAGCTTGAAAATCTTTATCCATTTCATATCGTTTGTCCTCAAATATTCTTAGAATAACATGAAAGCCTTCACAAAGTTTCTACCATTGTCAGTTCGTTTTTTATTACCTTATCCAGATTTATAACTTCTATGTATATCAATTATAATCTTGGTCAAGAGATAAAAGTGTTCTAGTCCTTCAACACGTTTTATAGCTAAAGCTGCAGACTTTCTTTGCAATAATTTTGAGTCGATCAATGAGCCGTCACGCCTAATAAAATTGTTACATTAAGATCCGGCTCTTTTAGAAGAGAAAATAAAGTAAAGGATAAGTGACACTCTTCCATTCCATCTTAAAAAGAGCTAGCTCCCACTCCCGAATTTTAAAATATAGCGGCGCTCTAGGTATTTTTGAAAAAAATGTAATCCTAAAAATTATATTTATCTTAACTTTAATTAAATATACTTGTGAATCGATTTAAATGTTGTATTAAGATTGAAATGAAAAATTTGAGGGATATTATTGAGATAGATTTTTTATTTAAAATAATATTTTATTTTATGAAAAAGTAAAAATAAATTTTAAAAAGGATCTAAGGATAGTTTATTAACAAAATTATTTCGATTACGATCCTCTTTTAATAGAAAATCATTGTACCGAGAAATTTGCCAAAATTAGTATTGAATCCTGAATGGTCAATCTTTTGATATCGATCCTTTAACAACTGTTTGCTCAATAGTTAACAATAATAATTAGTAAATTCCAACATTAGTAATATTTGAATAATTTAAATTTCTCAATCAGTTATTTTGACTTTGCTAAAATATATAAAATATGAATTAAATTGTAAGCTAATTTGTATAATATATTAAATTTATCAGAATTGACATTTTATTTGCTTTTTGATAGTTTTGAGGAAATTTAGGATATCATATTAACTATTTTGTGAGACTTTTATTTGCATCTTTTTCAGTGAGACAGAAATTCAATTAGTGGGATACTGCAACCTAAATCGTAAGTAAGCCAGGTCTATATGTTATGGCAATTTAAACTCGTCTTATGGAGATTGATATTTTAATAAACACTTTAATTTGAGCCGATTTTTTAAATGGTTGACTATATTTTAGCCAGAAAATATTGTCTAAACCTTGAGACGGTCTCAAATCTTTGTGCTATATATGAGCAAAATCTTCAGGCTTGCAGAGTATTTCCCTAGATAAAGTAATGAGTTTGCCGTTTTTAAAAAAAGGCTCAATTGAGCAGTAACACAATGGCATATTGATTTCACCTAGACGTATAACCAACATTAAAATTTATGGGAGAAAAACTTGCCTAATAGTGTTTACTTTATAAGAAAATCTTTAATACACTTATACCATACAGCATTGGCTTAAGCCCTTGGATTAGGAAACAGTAATATAAAATAGACACCTGTTTGAATTTACTCAGTACTAATTTTTCAATTTTATAAAAGGGTGGGGGGTAAAGGATTTGGTGGTTTTTTTTTCATTTGATATTTTTTCTGGTTAATTTTAAAGATTAGATAAGATTTTGAAATTATACAATTTACAGTCTGCTAGAGGCTATGTATATAAGCCAGATTCCAGGCCAATTGTGAGGGAGGAATGGGGAGTTATTATACTACTTAATTTATGAAAGAATCAAAATTTATTTATCTTTAGAAATTAATAGTGAAGTGACATTGTTTACCTAATCTTTCAATGGTCTTTTTATAATATATTAACTTTAATATATGTTTGTATATTGCTGCAGAATAGTAAATCAAATTTCGATAATTTAAGTTAATTTATTTTCTTGTTGATAGGGTAAATTGACATATTAATTTTTGTTTTGTTAAAAAATTAAACATACTATATAAATGATATTATTTTACACCAATCATATATATATTTTTTGCTATCAAAATTATGTTATTGGAATTTTTAATATAGATACTTTTAATTCTGAGCTAATTACTTTAAATAATAATACTAACATGCAATATTACATCACTGTTATTCATAGTGATAAATGTAAAAATTCAACAATTATTTTTTTTTAAATTGATATTAAGATAAGATTTATTTGTTAGGTCTTTGATTATATGATTTTAGATTTGAATCGGATTTTCTTAAATGAAGGGTAAATGTTTTATTTGCATAATAATCACTTTTTAGATTAATATTTTGTATAACTTCAGATAAATAATATGAATGTCCTTGAAAGTGATGAGCATAAGAATCAATTAATAAATGCAGGTGTAGAAATTTTGGCGGATATCTAAAATATGCTATTATTTTGAATTTGGGCATGTGCAGCATTGATGATATAATCTAATTTAAAAAAATTAAAAAATTATTAGTGTTTTTTTTATACATTGAAGCAATTTTTTAAATTTTCAAGAAGTGGTAAATGGGATTTCCTTAAATCTCTAAGAGATTTTAGATTACGATCCTTGACAATTGCAATGAATCTAAATTTATCAGATATCCCATCCCATTTAATATCTTGAAGCAAGACAAATCCAAATTTTTGAGGAATTAGATTATCTGTTGTGTAAACTATCTTTTCATTTGTAGCATTCCCATTCAATATATTACATATCCAATACTATGAGTGGTTTAAATATAACATATTTTTTATTATAAATCAGAACTTGCTTACCTTAGGCTTATTATGAGTTCTTAGGTAATTACCTACTTCAATATAAAACATCTGTGGTGTTTCTTCGCGAGTGTAAAATTCCTTAAACTTATGTTTTTTATGATCTGGATGATATGGGCATATACACAAAACTTGTGCTTCTAAATATGTTTAGTATAGTATAAATAAATATTTACTATTTATTAATGAAGGTAGTTCTATGTCAAATTCACAATCAAGATTGATATTATTATGAAGTACAACACTAAATTTTAGGCAAGAAAAATCAGATAATTTAAATTGACTTTTTTTAATTGTAATTAATATTTTATCTATTAAATCTTTATATGTACAAGATAATTTTAATGATGTTTGCATTATTTCAACTATTTCATAGATATCAAAAGCGTTAAAATCTACTTCTGAGGAAAAGTGTGACATAAATTTTTTCATCTCCATTATTATAAATTTCCCTAATTTTCGCTCCGTGAGATATAACAGATTTTTATAAAAACTGATGTAATAACAATGACATATATGTCATTTCATCAGTATCATGGAGGTAAACCTGTATCGAAACTTTTAAAAGGCTGTTTAAGGTAAAGATCGACAAAAAAAATTCATAATAGAAACCAATTTAAAAATATTTTGGTTTCTTTCTAGCATATTATCTTTAAAGATTTGTTTATATTATTTATGATTTATTTTATAATTTGATTATTTATAATTATTATCAAGCTTAAATTTCTAGATTCTTAACTTAAGAATATTATTGAGATTTCAGGAATATTTAATAAGTATCTTTTAGCTTTAACGGAACTACGCGGGTCAAGTTAAGTCTAATCAAGCTGAAGAACTGCATTAGGAGTTAGCTTATTATGGTTATGCTGCAATGATTAGGGTTGGGATTTGTATTAGATTATTCAAAATACTGTTTCTTAAGGGGGGCGGGGGTAAGCAATTGAGAGGAGTAGGATAAATTTATTTGGGAGTAATCTATTAAATTTTTAAATGAAATAGGGCAAAAAATATCACTATAGAAATTAATAATTTTATTATAGATCTATTATAATACAATGATATTGCTAAACTTTAATTACACAGAAAAATTTACAAAATCTCTTACATCACGAATCTATATAAAAATTAATGAATGAATCAATAATGATTGACATTTTTTAAACTCTTCTCTTGGATGATTTATACCCCCCTTTTTTTAAAATATATATATTGTTTTTATAGTCCTTTTTAATGTCTTCATAGATTATATATATACTATATATTTATTTTTTTTATATTTAATTTTTAATATATCCATTTTAATATATATTTTTTAATCCTCTGTAATTTAATGATTACGAATAAATAATAAAGTTATAATATTATGTTTTATGTAAGTATACATATATTATTAATATCTACAACATAAAACGACAGTCAAATTTATATACTGCAAACACATAGACATTATTTTCCAAAAGGGTAATTTAAAAGGGTTAAAGATTATATTATATTAATACTTTATATGTAAATGTGGGGGGTTTTAATTGAATTCATGTTCTAAAAAATAATTAACGTTCACAATATTTTGATAGTTAGTAGTAGAGCATTAATAATTTAAGTTATTCTTTTTAAAATTTATGAAGGAAGTTTTGCGAAATTAGAACCATTATTTTCATTTATTTATTTCTATACTTCTATACAATATTCATATAATACAACAACATAATTAGAAATGGCGATTATAATTATACGATAATGGATAAGTGTATACATAATACATTAGGAAGTTAAACAACACCTATTTTATTAATCGTAAATATATATGTATATAATCATATCCAATTGGCAAATATAATATACAATATAATAAAATATTAGACTAGATTACTTCTTTACTACAGGAAGTACTATTATAATTAAAAATGTGTATGTAATTAATAATGATGAAAAATTGCTGCCTAGGTGGTGGGAATTTTTTAAGGGGGTAGATATTGGTTTTTGAGGCAGGTTTGCATCCAGCGAATAGCCTGCTATAGAGACCCCAAAGGCTGCTGGCTCTAGGTATCTTCATTTTTACCTAACTACACGTTCAGGTTAAGTCTTAATTCCAACCTAGTGAACCACGTTAGTAATTAGATTATTGCTAATATGGGTTCATATTCGACTATAAGAAATATAATATTTTATTTGGCACCCACCCCTAAGATTCAATAAAATCTCTGAATTTCTCAAATTAACTAAAACTCTATGCAAAAACCAGAGTTGTACAAAAGATCTTCTTTGAAGATTTTTGAGGGAGATCTAGCTCAAAAATTTGAGCAAGATCTTTGAAGATCGTAAAATTTGAAGATCTTTTATTTTTTAAAAATTTTGTGTAACGATCTTCAAAGATCTAAGCGATCTTCAAAGATCTTCATGAAATTTATTTTTTTTACCCCTTTATTAAAAGCCCAGATGTTTTTCAATTTTCATTAAGGCAGGAGGAGAGGTATAAAACATAAAAGAAATATTATATTAATAAAATTGAAAAACATCTGGGCTTTTAATAAAGGGGAAAAAAATATATATCATGAAGATCTTTGAAGATCGTTACACAAAATTTTTAAAAAATAAAAGATCTTCAAATTTTACGATCAAGATCTTTTTATTTTGAGCAAATGTACAACTCTGGCAAAAACATATTAAATATATCAGAATTTGATTTCAAATTAATTTTTATTGAATTATAATTTATTTTTATTGAATAAAATTAATTCTCATTGAATATAATTTATTTATAATTAATTAATATAATCAATTTATATTGAATGTATAATGATGAAATAGTCAATTTGTTATTATTTTATATTAAAATTTTTTGTTTTTGTTATATATAGGATATACTTTATTTTAGAATTTTAAAATTTCTATTTTTTTGTTATTACCATAAACCGTTTTTACATAATTTTTATAATACCAAAATCTATTAAATAAAAATAACTTTTACTTTTTGTTAAATGATTGTTTAACTTAACAAATTTAATATAGTATATAAACTGTCACCAAATATATTCTTATTACATTTATACATATAAAATCCATTTTTTTCAATATTTCTTTATTTTCTTTATTCAATGATATATATAACTATATCATTGTCTTTATTCTTTCATCTCACGTGATCAAGTTAAAAACAAAGACAATTAATAATAATATCATCTTCTCGAAAAATATACAACGTCCATATCTGTCAATTATAAATCGACAGATACAAAATTAACGCGACTATAAGCATCAAAATAGGTGATCTTAATTGTTGATTATCAACGATATCATAGAAAAGTTATAATACAATAATTGGAGTTGAAATTAAAATACTATATTATTAATAAATTTTTTGGAATACAATAAATAAAATTATACGAATTTCGATTCTACATCATATAAGGCTTTATTTTTTGGAATTTAAATAGATCTATTAATTAATTTTTAATAATTATATTTATTTAATCCAAAAAAATAAATGGTTTAATATAACATTGATCATATAATAAAATCTTAAGGTGCGATTTATATTTCATTTTATAAAGATTTATATCAAGAGGGCATTTGATTTCATTTCTTATTTATTGAGATTCTTTTATGTGTTTTATGAATATATATATGTTAAATACGTCGATTTAAAATTTTATTTTATATTTTTCGGGGATATTTTATTTTTAGTTTATATTAACGTTTTATTTTATCGTTGCAAATTATGTTTGCTTCTTACCTTTAATATCAATTTATTTTATCGTTTTATATTTTCAGTAAAATTGACAATTTATAATTTTTGTTATTTTATAACATAAGTTTAATTCAATTTTAAACCATCATTTTCATTTTATATAATTGACTATTTTGATTTATTTATTTAAGATATAAAATGAACATTTTTTTGTTAAAAAAAGTACATTCATCAGAAAGATGTGAAAGTTTGCATTTGTTTATATAAAATGTGATAACCCTTAGTTTATCTCTTTTTTTATACCAATATTTTTAAATAGATTGGCTTTTATTTTGCTAGTTATTTGATATAAATCAGTAAATAATTAAATGAATATAATTACTATGTATAGGATGAATTGTAATATCTTGTAAAAGATATTATGCAATATCTTCTTTTAATTTTTTTCATTTTCAATGTATATTAGCATAATTCAGTGATGAGGCGTCAAGTTTACTACTAGGAAATTAATTAAAACTTTTTTTATTTAGTAAAACCACACAAAAAATTAAATTTATGAATAAACAAAATTCTTTTTTGTTTTTAAGTAAAATTTCGATTGATATTTATCTATCATATTTTCATATATTAAAAAAAAATAATAACTAATTTTTTTAACGTAGTAAAAATAATAATTAATTTTTTAGAACGTAATAAAAATAATATTAATTTTTTAGTTAGTAGAACAATAACGTAGGAAATATAGTATTAATTTTTTTAAAGTAGTAAGAATAGTATTTATTTTTTTAACATAGTATAAAAATTATATTAATTTTATTTAAGAATTTTATAAAAAAAATTACAAGGGAAGTAGTGGTGTAGCCAGGATTTTCCAATGGGAAATAGGAAGGGGGGGTTTAAAAAAAATTGGGGACAAAGCCTCCAGACTTTGCTCGGCCTTCGGCCAGGTCTCAACTATAAATAATTCTTATATATATTTTCAGTGGTCTTTATATAATCTCTGTTAAAGTTGACTGAACAAGCCCTAATTCTAAAATATAGCAATGTTTTGTTATTTATCTGATTTTAACCAGTATAGTAACCAGTATAAAAGAAAAAATTATTAGTAACAAGATTTTGGAAGACCTTAAGATTAAAAAGTGACTGAAAGCATTTATTCAGTAAATTTTATCAATGTTTAAATTATAATTTTTATTGTATATTAATTTAATCTGTTTAGTAGACAGTATAAAGAAATAAGAAAATTAACAAAATAGTTATCGTGCTAAAATAGAAATATAAGAAACTATATTTATGGCATGCGCTAATATTTAATGTCTGACTAGTACTTACAATTCCTCACTCAAATATTAGAACCACAAAAGAAACTGAGTTATAAACAGAATGAAACGTTTGACGTCGCGCTCTAAATATGAAGTGAGTCATGCTTTTATAACCACTAATTATGAATTTTATACTAAACCATTAAGTAGAGCTTTATTGGTATATTTTATTGCTTTATTCTCTTGGGTAGTTGGTTTCAAGAGGAAAAGAATTATCGGTATAAAATAAAAAAATGTCAAAATTAGCATCATGCCAGAACGGAGAATATAAAAGTTCTAACTATCTGGTTTGCGCTAATATTTAGTGTCTTATTAATTCTTTAACCAATTTCGCCAGCCATCATAAAATAACCGAATTCAAAAACCTATGATATCACGCCTTAAGCGTAAAGTTAGCCAAACATCTGGAAGCATTATCTCGAAAATTTATGTCAATGATTAATGCGTATTTCATACTTCTTTACTGCTTTAACCAATTTGGTAGATAGTTTTAAATATATAA